AGGGAGCCCGATGCGGGGCTCGATCCCAGGACCCTGGGATCATGACCTGAGCCGAAGGCAGACGCCTAACGACTGAGCCACCCAGGCGCCCCCTGTACAGATACTTTAGATCAGTGCTCAGCACTCAGTAAGCCCTTGACAAACATTAGCCATTATCCTCACTGTCATCAGCCATCACTTTTGCATTTTATCCGTGCAGCCGTTCCTATGCCAGAAGTAGACTTACTAGCGAGGAACTTGTTGGTAGATCTTCGAGGAGCAGAGGTCTCGTGGAATGGGTGTATCCTCTTTCTTGGAGTGGAATGGCTAGAGATGAGGAGAGGGTGAGAGGCCCGAGCACCGTTCAGCCAGCATGGCACAGGACAGGGTCCCCCAGAGAGTTATCCTCCCCCTCCACAGGCCTTTTGCACACGTGGGGGGGAGGATATTCTGGTATTTGCTAATGAGCATATGGAATGGGAAAGAACTTGGGAAAGGCAGTACAGCACAGTGGTCCAGAGCCAAGGCCTATTTCTGGCTGCTTGGACTCAAACCCTGGTCCTTCCACTCCCCAGCAGGGTGACTGGACCAGGCACTTCACCCCTCCAGGCCTGAACATGTCTGTTAGATGCTGATTGTAGTCGTACTCGCCTCGTGGAGTTGTGAGGATTTAACACAGTGCCAGCGCTCAGTAAGCACTTGAAGTGTTAGTTGTATTTTACTGTTTTAATATGAGTTGTGATTACTTTGTTTGCAGTGGGCCCTATTCCCTTAATCATCCCAGCGGAGTATCAAACTAACCCATCTCTCATATCTTCTGCAGAGGATGTGGATCCCTCAGTTGGTCGCTTCCGGAACATGGTGCAGACTGCAGTGGTCCCAGTCAAGGTAGGAAGCACCTTTTAACGGTATTTGAAATGCCATACAGTCTGGTGTAAAAACGCACGCTTTTATGTGTAGGTAAGTGTTAATTATGTGCTTAATTTTAAAACACATTCTTTGCTCTTCTCCTATTTTTCATCATGTGGAAATACTTTCATTCCACCTGAATCTACGGGGTTCTGGAGTGCCATAGAAAGACTGCAGGTGACCAACCAGCTTGATGCTGCGTATAAATTATGGTGCGCCTGGGGGTCTGTAAAGTTACCTCCCAGCAGGACGCAGAGCGACCCACTTTTCTTTAGCCTTGCCCTTCTGACTCCAAGTAAGCTATTAGGCTTATTAGGAAGAGGCATTGTTGCATTTCTGCAGGGCCCCTCCAGCTATGGCCGTGCCTTTGTTTTGTGATTGGGAATGGCACAGATAGGAAAGGCAGCCCAGATTGGATTAGGCTGAAAGATCAGGTATGTTGAAGAGCCAGGAGGTGAAATTACAGAGATGTTCTGGTTGCTCAACATGTGGAGGAACTATGTGACCACTTGGACTGTCCACAGGGAGCAGATGGCCCCTTGAAGTAGTGAGATCCCTGTGAATTAGAGATCTTTAAGAAGTGATTGGAAAATGCTGGTCAGAGGTGCTATAGAAAGTTTTATTTAAAAAAAAAGAAAAGTCTTTAGGTGCGCCTGGGTGGCTCAGTCGGTTAAGGGTCTGCCTTCGGCTCAGATCATGATTCCGGGGTCCTGGGATCGAGCCCCACATTGGGCTCCCTGCTCAGCGGGGAGCCTGCTTCTCCCTCTGTGTGCGCCCCCCCACTTGTGCTTGCACTTTCTCTCTCTCGTTCTCTCTCAAATAAATAAATAAAATCTTTAAAAAAAAAAAAAATCTTTAGGGGCACCTGGGTGGCTCAGTCGGTGAAGTGTCCGACTCTTGATCTCAGCTCAGGTCTTGATCTCAGGGTCAAGCCCTGCGTTGGACTCCATGCTGGGTGTGGAGCCTACTTAAAGAAAAAAAAAAAAAATCTTTGGACTATATTAGACTAGATTGATTACCTATGTCAAGTTTTTGGTTAGTCTTTTTTAATCCAAAAGGGGTAGAAGGTTGAGGGGGATCTTTCATGAACGTTCATAAGCCAGTGTGAAAAAGTACAAGACGGAATGTTTCTCTGCATCTCCATAGCGTTTGTGTCACATTCCTCCTAGAGCTCTTTTCTCTCTTTTTGCTTCTTCCTTTGGAATGTTCTGTTGTCATTAAAGTATAAAACCAGGGGCCCCTGGGTAGCTCATTCAGTTAAGTGTCCGACTCTTGATTTCGGCTCAGGTCATGATCTTAGGGTCATGGGATTGAGCCCTGCATCAGGCTCCATGCAGGCATGGAGGCTGCTTAAGATTCCCTCTCTCCCTCTCCTTTCACCACCACCCCCCAAAACAAAGTATAAAACCAGCAGGTATTTTTACTTCTTTGTCAGTTTTATTATGATATAATTTACATACAGTAAAATACATTTTAAGTGTATAGTTTGAGTTTTGACAAATGTATACACATGGGTAACCACCACTGTTATTAATATATAGATTTCCATCACCCCAGAAAGTTCCCTTATGTCCCCTTGCTGTCAGTTCCCCCCACTCCCAGCCCCAAGCACCCAGTAGACTACTTACTATCACTACAGATTTGTTTGCTCTCAGATTAATGTTCAAAAATCAGGCGATCAATATGAAGATACTAACTTTTTACTTAAATACTACTATTAACACCTCTGCTTCCTGAAAGGGCATTTTAACATCAGAAGAGAGGGAGGTTGTGACTATAGGATAAAGAGTAGTAACTTAAACTGGATAGGTTTTACTTTATGAAAAGTTCACACATTATCCTCATTTTTCTCAGTGTGACGTAGGATTGTGAGCCCTTTGTGGGGAGCGGTGTTTGGGAGCCCTCATGTTAGACAGTGACTATCTGGTCTCTTCAAACCCTGAGACTTCAGGACAGTGAAATAGGTTGTCTGGGAAACAAAACAAGCTAGAGGGTTGGGGGTCTTCTCTGAGTTTTCTAGGGCTGGAATAGAAAAGGCTAACTAACACCCTCTTGTGGCTCACCTACTTGCTTCCTCTGTTCCTTACGAACCACAGAAGAAGCGGGTGGAAGGCCCTGGCTCCCTGGGCCTGGAGGAATCGGGGAGCAGGCGCATGCAGAACTTTGCATTCAGTGGAGGACTCTACGGGGGCCTGCCCCCCACGCACAGTGAGGCCGGCTCCCAGCCGCACGGCATCCACGGGACAGCACTCATCGGTGGCTTGCCCATGCCATACCCGAACCTCGCCCCTGATGTGGACTTGACTCCCGTTGTGCCGTCAGCAGTGAACATGAACCCTGCACCAAACCCTGCGGTCTATAACCCCGAAGCCGTCAACGAACCCAAGAAAAAGAAATATGCAAAAGAGGCTTGGCCGGGCAAGAAGCCCACACCTTCCTTACTGATTTGATATTTTTGGTCATGGAGGAGGGTGGGATTGGGTGGGAATTGGGTGGAAGGGTGAGGGGGGAGCTAATGAACTAGGGAGAAAAACTTTCCATGTGTGCGGTCTCGTCTTTCAGAATGTCTCCTGGGGCCCTAACCGTGTACTATTAAAGCTGGGGAATATCCCATAAAGACCTGTCTTCAGAACACTTTGAGTATAGAGCAGTGTTTCATGTTTCCTGATAAGTAGGCTGCCCTGGCTCTTTCCCAGGCCTTCCATCACCTCCTTTTTCTTTTCTCCCTCGTTCTAGGGGCATTTTGATTTACAGGCGCGTTCCCTGGGAGGAGACTCCAGGCCCTCAGGTGGGATCTAGAGCCGTGGTGGTGGCAGCAGCATCACCAGCCTGTGGGGCCAGCAGCCTGATTTCTGTTGACTGTCCCTGTAAGTCCCAGATAGCGAAGGGGTTGCCGTGGATCCCAGGGCGATCAGAAGAGGGTTTAGAATTCTTCAGTTAAGCTAAGGTTTCAACTCAGAGATGTTTGCCTAGGTCACTGGTTTTGAGGTCTGATAGTTAGGCTTTTTTCTCTTTTGTCCTTTCTGTTGGAATGAGAACATTTGGATTTTCCTTCATCTGTGACCAGTGCCATAGACACGGATGGGTAGTTGGAAACTTACAGTATTGTTGGAACTTTACTTGTTTCTCTTGTCACATCTGAGTACCCTACTTGCCGAAGTTTCTCGTTTGATTCCAGAGTACTGTCCTCTACTCTCTAAAGTCTTGCTTTCCTTTTCAAGTGTGTTGTGAAGGCAATTTTTTAAGGATATGACCAGTTAGAGCAGCAATTCCAATTAAAAAGGAAAAGATTTTACTTTGCAAGTACCTGATGTCTTGAAGAGGACATTTTTAAATGTTGGTTCAGAGGCTCTCCCCTCCTTTACTGAGAGCTCTCATAACCCAGAGCTCCAGGACTGGGCCCAGCTAACAAACATAGGAGACGAAGGTAGCAAACAGTGATAGGAGCTTTGTACAGAGATTTGTACATTTGTGTAATAGGCCTTTTCACGCTTTATGTGTAGCTTTTTACCTGTAACCTTTATTACATTGTAAATTAAACGTAACTTTTGTCATTCGTGCCGTCTGTGATTCGGTCGCCATCCCGGATTCCCGCCGCCGTCAGGGCACGTTTGTCAGAGGTACAATGGATGACTTGGGAGGCAATGCTCTGGCCCCATTTTATTACCACAAATAAAGATGGCCCCTGCCGAATGTGGAAATTCTAATTAGAGATCCCAGTCCCCAGACTGAAGCCTCACTGAGCAAAGTGGGTTAAGAGGTGCCTGCTGCCCTTCATCGGGAGGCAGAACCGCACAACGGATGCGGGGCGCCAGGGCCTCGGGACACCTGTCCCTGGTGGGCATCGTTGCCTGGGCCTGGCGGCCCGCACTCTGGCTCCAGCCGCTTGCATCGGGAGGTTTGTAGGGGATTTCAGCCAGAGTTTGGATCGAATGCGTGTGTCTTGCACACAGGACCTCATATGCAGGGATTGGCTTTGTGATGAAGATGCCAACTAGCTTCCAGATCCCTTGGATTCAGAGTGTGGACTGGGGGCAGGAGCAGCCTGCGGAAGAACAGGGATCCATAAGATCTCAGCTGTGTAAGAAGTTGACTTCTTAGCCAGCTTCTGTGAAAATGAGGGTCCCCGTCTTACAAGGACACCTCCCTCGTACTGTAGTGAAGGTGACCGTTCGTGCTGGTCACAGCCCCTCAGCAAGCACCTGTCTACCCTGCCCACCATTTATGGCAAGTCATTTCATTTCCAAAGCCCTAAGGAGGGGCCTGTTTTTATCCCCACTTTAGAGGTGAGAAAACCGACAAAACAAACTTCCCTATGGTCCCACTATAGCAGAACTCTAGTCTGAATCCAGAGCCCGAGCGCGGGCTGACGCAGCCTTTGGGATGAGCGAAGGCGACGGATATGCTCGGCAGGCTGTAGCTCTGTTCATGGCTAGGTTTGTTTTGAGGTTAAAAAAAAATTTTTTTCCAAACCGGATGACTCACTGAAGTTATGTTAAAGGGCTTAGATCTAGTTTAGGTAATAAACCCTTGCTGGCAAAAGAGCTTCTACCTTGCATGATTTGGTTTCAGAATTGGAGTTGCGGGGGGAAACTTGCAGTGTAGTCTCATAGAAGGCTCAGCAGAGAATATCCAAGCCTGCCAAGCTATACCTTTCCCTGTAAGGGACTTTGACTTCAGTGGAAGCAGGACTGCTTAATTTGGTAGTTCCCTGACCTAAGGAGGTGTGTATGCGTGGAAACCTGGCCCCCCTGGCACCATCCTTCTGAGTCGTTCCAGTCAGGTGGTAGTGCCTCTCAGAGATGGGCAACTCGGAAAGGGGCTCGGTTGCCTCTCGCCCTTAACACAGCTCCAGACGGGCCACAGGTGGATAAGCCCCTCTTGTTCACCACAGAACTGGCAGATGGTTACCACTCTAGTGAGCACGACGCTGGTGTGGGACTCAGCACCTCCCCGGCCTGGCACACGCACCCACCGAGGAGAAGCGACTGCAGGTTTCCCCAGAGTCCTGTGCTGGCTCGTGGGCCATCGGCTAAGGAGGGAGGGAATGACCCTTGTTCCCCTCCCCAGGGCGGGAGAGGGTGACGAACCCCGTGGAGAAGGACACCTGTTGACGGGAAGCGGCCCATTTCCCAGGTGTTCCCCACTCAGAATCAGCTGTTTGGTGACAGCTTGCTGAAAATACGCCCATTATCTGCAAATCATAGAGTTCTAGAGTCCGAAGGACTTAGGAGATCCTGTCTGGATCCTTCATTTTGCTTGTGAGCAAACCATGGTAGTGGGGCCCCACTTCTTTCAACTAATACAGACGGAAATGTGTGAGCTGGGCACACGGAAATGTGCCACCCCGCCTGCAAGAGGCCTGCCTTCTGGAGGGAAATGTGCACTCTAGCGATGCTGTCACCTGCTGGGGGCTTTAGTGGAAGGATGGATAGGTAAGGACAGCTGAGATGGGCAAGGAGGTCAGGGAGGCCTCTAGGGAGATGACATTTGAGCAGAGCACTGAAGAAAAGTAGGGAATTGCCATACGGAGGAGCATGGATTCAAGCTTCTCAAGGCAGAGGAACCAGAAAGACCAGGGGATGGTCCATAGGGGGTGGAGGAATCAGAAAGGCAGAGGCCAGATCCCACCCTGTAAGCTTTGCTGGGGAATTGGAAAGTTTTGAGTTACCAGGAGACCACAGAAGGTGTTTTTTCCTCCTTACTTTAAAAAAGAAAAAGAGGGGCGCCTG